GTCTGCCACGTATTTTTAATGTAAGAAAGAACATTAGCATGAAACTTTGCAGATTTTATATTAAAAAGGTGACATAGAAGCCATTTTGATAGTGAGCTTGTTGCGCAATATAAGCTTAATATATTGTTTAATACATTACGTTATACCACCAACTACCATAGAAGGTCTTCAAACCCATCAGGATGAGCACTGTCACAACCCTACACAATGATCACTGGTGTGAATGTCTCTGACCAAACAATCAGAAACAGAATTCATGAGAGTGGCCTGCAGGGCCACTAGTGGGCTCTAGTGGGCTCTGTACTCACTATTTGGCACAGTTCAGTCGAACTAGGATTTGCCATAGAATACCAGAATTGGCAGGTCCACCACTGACAGTCAATGTGTTTTTGTCTGACGCTACGAACACTGTTCTACGTATGTGGCAAGAGAGCGCAGGCTGGTCTCTCTATATCACTCACTCACTGATTGTTTTTATATTAGTGTGTGCTCAAACAAGGGACTTTTTTCATATTTATATGAATATGAAAAGTCTTCATATTTTAACTAGCCCATACTCAAACATTTTTGTGATGTACACAATATTGCTAACAATATTTGCTCATCTGCCTTCACACGCATATGAACTTCAGTGACATCCCTTAATCATACTTAATCCATAGAGTTGAATATGATCTTAGTCCACACTTTGCTGCTACTACAGCTTCAACTGTGCTGGGAAGGCTTTCCACAAACTTTAGTTTTGTTCACTTTTAAAATTCTAAATAATTTAGCGCCCAGCTATCTTTCCCAACTCCTCCACTTGTACAATCCCAATAGAGCACTTAATTCGTCCACTCAGATGCTCCTAGCACAACCTAGGAGGTGACCGGGCCTTCGCAAGCGTAGCACCCAGACTCTGGAATAACCTCGCCGGTTCATATTCGTGCCGCCGAGTCTATCCAGTCTTTTAAATCACGTCTTAAAATCTATCTTTTTACTTTGGCTTTTGATTCTTACGAGTTGGCTTGTTGTGTTGTCACCTATTGATTCCTGTCCTGTTTTTATTGTTTTGTTTTAATTGTCTCATGCGTTTACTGACTGTGAAGCACTATGGTCAACTTTGTTGTTTTTAATATGTGCTATATAAATAAATTTTGATTTGATTTGAAAGTGTGTTCATAGGAATTTTTGACCATTTGTTTAAAAGTTCATTTGTGAGGCACTGAACGGAAAGGCCAGGCTCACAGTCTCCACTCGAATTCATCCCAAAGGTGTAATACCAGGATGAGGTGAGGACTCGTGTGCAGTAATGTTGGAACAACAAGGTGCTCAAATCCTCAGATTTTCCCCACAATTGTCCAAATGTCTTGTGTACACGGCCGAAGAGCTCTAGTTTTGTCTCATCGGACCAAAGGACGTGCTTCCAGTATGCATAATCCTTTTCTAGGTTGCTGTTAGCAAACTTCAGTCTGGCTTGAAGGTGTCTCTTCTGCAGAAGTGGTGCTTATTTTGCTCTCCAGCCTTGCAGTCCATTGCTGTGCAGGGTTGCTGGCGGGTGTTCTGTGGTCCTTAGACATATTGCATACTAGTTTTCTTTCCAGAGTCTTTGAAATCTTTCAAAGCTCTTTCTCTGCACTGTTGTTTTGTACTATGTGTCTCTCTTTTAATGATGATAATTTTCACTCCAGTTCTTGACTATAGGAAACACCACAGTATCTTTGCATAGCCATTTCCTGCTTTTTGAGCATCAGCAAATGTTTTTCTCAAGTCTAAACTAATTTCATTTGCTATTGGCAGAGGTGGGACCAAGTCATTGTTTTGCAAGTCTCAAGTAAGTCTCAAGTCTTTATCCTCAAGTCTCAAGTCAAGTCTCAAGTAATGTCAGGTGAGTCAGAGTCGAGTCTCAAGTCACTGGTGTAAAAGTCCGAGTCAAGTCACAAGTCTGAAACTTTGAATTTCAAGTCCTTTCGAGTCTTTAAGAAAAAAAAAAAAAACGAAAAAATAATGTTGCAGTTATGCTAAATGTAAATATTAGACCATGTAATTTTTAAATCTGTGTTTTTCTCAACACATGACAAAATAGTGAACTTAGAAAATATACACAAATTGTGAAATTGCACCTCTTTAAAATGCAGCTCAATTAAACCTAGCTCCAAGAATAATTTTCACCGACAGTTCTGAGATAAGCTGCATGTTATTCTTGGATGCGCTTGTAGGACCGGCTTTAAAATCGCATGACAAAAATATCATACATATTAAAAAAAACTGTATCACCAACGTAGCCTGGACACCATTTGCTAGTTAGATGAAGTCAGCTATCTCATCGTAGCATATTTATATGCATATTTATAATCATACGGTTCTTGGAGTGAGTGCATACACTCATGAAGTTTAGTAACTTCAGGTCACTGCAACAAGCCCAGGTACAGTTTACCGACGGATGGGTGCAGGACCTTGAAATGCACCGTGTAGAACGAAAGACCATCGTACGTATCATAAGTTTACCAGTCTCACAAATCGTCGTCATAAATACACATTCCTTAACCGTTTATTAATAGGACCTTTGAGTTCAACGGTAATTAATTAGTAGTGGAAATAATTTCTGGTTCGCATTACAGAAATGTAGCAGTGACAACAATATTGTAGTATGCTGTAACCGTACTGGGCAATTAGTGATACAACAAACCTGTTTTATCCTGTGAATAAAAGTATACGTTTTTGTCAATGTACCATAATAACAGAAGCGAAACGCAATATTGTGTCAGGACAATTCACTATTTATGCACAATAAATAAAGGAGCGACAATTTCTGTTCAGCGCCAGACTTGCTTGTAACCTATATCACTAATTATGTTATGAAAATGACGTATTAAGTACTAAAAAACACTGACCTTCGTGTAAATGCTTAGAGCAGACTAACCTGTGAGCTGGAGAGTTCTGGGACGTTATATTTGGTCTTTGAATGGCTGCAATCCAGTCGCGTCTTTGTTACTTCGGAAACACGGCTTGAACAATTTCTCTTCAACGACGTAATCCGATAACAACCGATCTCTTTACCCGTCGGCTTCCCGTGGCTGTCATGCGACCGGCTATTGCAGTTAATAATACAACAGCTTCTTGACATTTTTGTGTTTGTTTTTAATCGCTGTGTGACTGATTTTAATTGAAAGCCTGCGTGCGCTAGTACCGCTTGCCACGAGTTCCCAGAATCCTTTGCGGTTCTACCCGTGAATGACGTCACATTTTCAATCTCTATATAATATGCATGTTAAATTTTATATTTGGGGTGAAATATCAAGTCTTTTCAAGTAAACCGGTTCAAGTCCGATTCAAGTCCCAGGTCATTGGTGTAAAAGTCCAAGTCAAGTCACAAGTCTTAGAACATTTTTTCAAGTCAAGTCTAAAGTCATAAAATGAATGACTCGAGTCTGACTCGAGTCCAAGTCATGTGACTCGAGTCCACACCTCTGCTATTGGTATAATGCTTTCAAGTGACAGTTGAAACCCTTGCTTAAGTTTTTAAACTTTGTGTAAACTAGAATATAACCCTTACTAGTTTTACAAAGTTAAAGCACGTCATTGCAAAGCAGTGATTTATGTTATGGCTCAATAGAGAGACCAGCTAATAATACTGAATCAGGTCATTAAAAAATAGTAATCTGTTATTGTGTTCAGATACATGTAAAGTTTCTTTCTGAAGAAAACAAGTGAATGCAGAAATTCTGTGTTGAAAATCTATTGCTCCTGTCAGTAACCTTAAACTAATAATTTGTCCCTGTGTGTCTGCAAACATCTTCAAAGGCAGTGATGGCATTTAAATGGTGTTTTGTGAATTAAATGAATCAGCATCATCTAGCTTAGTTCTGTGATATGGTTTCAACTACGATCAGCGAGACCTAGATCATGTTTGTAGAGGGAAAGGCCCAAACGCAGACTCACAGGCAGGTGAATATTAATAACCAACAATGCATTTATTAAGGCTGATGTCCGTGGTACAGAACTAAGATGAAAACAGAATGTGAAAGGCAACAAGGAAACCTTTATAACCAAAACCTAGACTGGGAACGAACACTAGGCACTGGGGACACCGGCCTCAGATGTCATCAGGCCATTCAGTGGGCGTTATAAGCAGAAATCAGCACCATAGATATGGGCCAGCAGGGGCCATCTCCACCTGCTAGATTGTTCAGAAGGTTGTTATCATCCATCCAGATGGAGGATCACTAACAGGAGCGTGGAAGACTCCAGAATCCACTCTGGCTGGAATCCTGTGATACAGCAGTGTTTACAGGTAAGACGTTTAAACGGACAGCATTTATAGAATGACTATTAAAAGTCAGCGAGTGTCAGTAATGTTAATGTGGTTGTGTTAGTAATACACATATAACAGCTTTGAGATGCATTTGTAAATATTATTACGTTTGACCGTCTTTATGGCGCTTGCTTAAAGTTATGGTGTAAAGGTTAGCTTATAGTGTAATAAAGCGGTTACTGTTTAAACAATGATTAGACAGAAATGTTACTGGTTAATAAAGTTACCAGAAAACAGATTCACAGCAAATATCTCGATTAGCTTCAGTGCATCTGTAATAAATATGTGCAAGTTTCAGTGCTTCGTTTAAACTGTATGATACTGACCCAGGGTCAGTGTAAAATACAATCCCAGCTGTGTGAACAAAGCCTGGCTCCTTTAATCCTGCACGACAAACCTCAGGATGCAGGCTATTATTACTCTTTCCTGCTGGCACACCTGTCACACCTGAGAGGCAGCTGGAAACTTACAGTAACGTTTACATCATGCAAAGACTGCCAGACTCTGTAATACTGTAGATCACAGGTGTCGAACTCCAGGCCTCGAGGGCCGGTGTCCTGCAGGTTTTAGATGCGTCCTTGATCCATCACAGCTGATTTAAATGTCTAAATTACCTCCTCAACATGTCTTGAAGTTCTCCAGACGCCTGGTAATGAGCTAATCATTTGTTTCAGGTGTGCTGATCCAGGGTGAGATCTAAAACTTGCAGGACACGGGCCCTCGAGGCCTGGAGTTGGACACCCCTGCTGTAGATGATCAGTGACTCAGGTTACCAGTAAACATTAAAAGGTACCTCTCTGTCTGTGTGTCTGTGTTGAACCTTTTATAATCAAATTTTAAGTTTTGGACTTTTCCCTTTGAAGACACGTTGAAGAGCTCACAGAGATTTGAAGTTGCAGATTTAGGAGCATTAGGCCCGATGATGGTGTGTAAAGCCTGTACTTACCTTCTGCACTGTGTTTTTGTTACTAATTTATGTTTCTTGTTGTTTAACACAGATTTCAGAGGAGCACTTTTAAAGTATCCTTAATACTTTCAAGCAGAACTGGATTGGAAACCAAAAAAAGCTTTTTCTGAGCCATGAGAGCTGACGGGATACAACTTTTTAAAATCAGAAACAAAGGTGAGCAACAACTGTTAATGTGATTTTAACATGATCGTCATTTATATAGCAATCTTGTATTTCTTAAACATTTCCAGGACGGTGTCTGGCAGTTTCTTCATCCACAGAAGTTTCAGTTATCAGAGTGGGAGTGGCTGAGTCTCCTGAAGAAGTCCACACCATTTACAGAAATGTTTCACAGAAACTGATTTCTCTACCAAAGTGTGGAGTAGTGCGTTTCCATAGATCACCTCTGTATGATGTACTTCTTAAAGTGAGTGTTTGTCCTCTGTTGTTCCTCAGGTACAGTGAATGATATTAACGGCAGGGAAACAACACTGGGGGAAGACAAGAAGGAGAAGTGTTTCCAGGAGGAAGCTGCAGTGAGGACACACTGAGGTCAGAGGTCAGAAGCTGAAACAGCTCAGCTTTATATGCTAGGTTACAGAAACAAATCTAAATATATTTATAAATAAACTTTATAGTGATATTTTAAATAATAATCATCATTATGATTAAAATATCAAACACTTCAGTGGATTTTGTGTCACATGTATTGTGTTGGCCCTGTGATAACCTGGCAGCCTGTATACAAACAGGAAAGCAGACGTGTGTGATATAAATGTAAATGTGCTACATATGAAGTGTGTCATCAGGTTTGTCTCATGCTGATGGACCTGCATTCTTACATTGAAGAGACTGTTAAAGTCTTGCATTCAGTTAACAATAACGGGTCCAGTCTGTTTGGTTAAATGCAGTTTGTTGTCTATTTATTCACACGTTTTCTTAAGTGCGTATCCAGCTCAGCATCACAGTGGAGCTGGATTTGTTCAATAAATAAACCTCCAAAAGTTAACAATAAACCTGCATCCGTGTACGTCGTTGTCCACAGGATGAGACAATCAAAGTGATCAAACTGGAAGACTGTGGAACATGTTAATGTTTGTGTGTTTGTGTCTTTCAATTTTAATCAATTTTAAATCATGCTTTTTATTTGTTCTTGTTTCTAATGTCTCTGTAAAGCACTTTGAATCACCTTGTTGTTGAATTGTACTATACAAATAAACTTGCCTTGCCTTTCTAACAGTTCCTGGTGAATCACAGCAGAACCATAAAGGCTGCTGGACTGCAGGACGGCTTAGCCCTGAGAAGCCATCCAGTTACAGGAGGAGCAGGTAGAAGCTGTTTTCAAAGTAGCTGGGCAGGTTTCATCTCAAGTAAGCGATTACCTGTTCGTTCATCTGTTCTGTCACTTACAGGACATTTAAGGACGTCTTTTGAGCGTCTAGTTGGATGTTATTCTGGTCACGCCCATGGTCATTTGCAACAATGGACGTACTTTTCATGTTCATCCAGTAACTTAGTAAATCATAAAACATTATTATCATAAGACCTTTGGAGTGACGGCTTCTACAAGGAAGAGTCACAGTGTTGGACGCTCCACGCAAAGAGAAAAGCTCTTTACAGTTTTTAATCATTCTGACCATAAACAGCTTTTCCAGGTTTGATATTCTTTGACATACAAGTCGGGTTATGGAAATTAATTAAAAGGTTCCTATGTCACATTGAGCCATTTACACTAACCAGTGACAGTATGACTATGTGCACAGATGTGCTTCCAAGCTAGAAGCTCTGCTCATGTTCAGCTAAACACCTAACAGGGAACAGGTACTCCAGCCCCAGCCGACATGATATAACCGCACATGCAGCCCAGCCACAAAGTGAACCAACTCATTGAGTTACAGACAACAGGGCACCAAATGCACCCAGAGTCTAAACTAACCAGCCTGCACCAAACTGACATTTCTTCCTCCTACGTTAAATGGATGGAAGTTAAATACGTACATAAAAACATAAAAACCACTCGTTTCCACACAGGAGTTCCCTGACACCGAGTGTTAGTTGTACTGAGCAGATACCAACAATCGTAAGACTACCGGAGACAATGCACTGAATTATTGTTATCCTAATTATTTCACCCGACTGGTTTCAGCTCCGATGTTCTGCTTTTTCCTTTTGGTAGATCAAAGAGAATCGTGATGTTTCTGCTTCCATTTTGATTCCAAGAAGAAGAACGCTTCAAAGAAGTGGCGTTCATGGTCCACAGTGTGACGATCGTGGCCACACACTGCATGTGCTTTTTAAAGCAACATGTTTCTTCACTTCAAAAACTTTGACATATGCCTTGTTGTTTGGATATGTGTAATATTAGTGCATGTTAGGGTTTTTTACTGAAAATTGTTCACGTCTGTTTTGTATTTTGATGATCGCAGCAAAGATACTGTTTTAAAAAGTTTTGTTTTCAGAGCCTTTCTTTAAAATCCTGAGCCTGTAGTTTTACATGAATGTTACGTTTTCATTTCTGATCTTGTAATGCTTGCACTACACTGTGCACGTCTGCATTAGAGACATCTTAGTTACCTATTTGTGAAACTGAGCTGCTTGACTATTATTTGGAAGTGTATGTAAAAAGCACGATATTGTTTCTTTTTTAATGTGATGGACTGAACTCAGGAGGTATCTGCTTTTGACCAAAGATTAATCTGATCTCATTTCTACCTGTATCTACTGTTTCAAGATTTAGCTGAAGTTTGCTCAACTTTAATTGTTTATTCCATCTCTCATAGTGCAGCCATGAGACAGACCTATTAAACTCAATGCACGATGTAAAGTTCATAATTCTCTGACAAATAAAACTGTAATAGCAAACATGAACAGCTGTGCTTATTTCTGAGATATGAATGTTTGTAAACATAACTTTATTTTTCAAATGTGTTCATATTTAGAGAGTTAGAGACGGTGATGGTGAATCTGAGCTGATGGTCAGCAGAAAGTAAATATCTCTTTGTCCCTTCAGGCTTAGAGGGAACATGTTCTGCCCGGTGTTGTAGGGTCCTGATTACTTCGAGTTTGTGTTCCAGAGGGTGATGGAGTCAGGGCTGGACTGGGACAAAAAAGCTTTGCTAGACCCGCCCCTGCACAGTTACCAGCTGTCAGCTACACAGAAAAGGATCCTGGTGTTATTTGTCTCTCAGAAACAGTTCATAACTTCAACTCATTCATGTCACCTAAAAGGTAAACCTGTTTCTCCATCACAGCTCTGATGATCCAGTAAGGACATCTCCTGGTTTCATCTTTATGTTTCCCTCTCACCACATATCCAAACCGACATCATGACCAGCAGCTTTACAGCTGTGGCTCCAGCAAACATCAGCTGATACTAGAAATTAATATTAAATAAATTCTAACAACAGCTGATCAAGCTTAAACGTGCTGCTGTTGTTTAGCGCTATATCTGCTGGTTTCCTCTTTCTGGCGCAAAGTGACTTGTGTCAGAAAAGCTGATCATTGATCAGTTTCATGATTGAAGTAGAAACAGGAGAGGGAGGGGAGAATGAGAGGAGAAGAGGCAGCTGTGCAGCAAAGACAGAATAAATCCAACTTTGTGCCTTTTTCATTGTAGCTGAATTACGGGACAAACTGTTCCTTTTCACCTCAATAAGAAACGCGTAATATTTTCTCTGAATACGAGACGATTCCGTGTTTTTACAGGATGGCTGGAAACTCTACAGACTAACCTTATAAATAAAGTTCACCATCAGTAACATCATAGCACCACCCAGCTGTATAGAAACGCCGTCATGCTAGCTCACGCAGTACTGTACTAGCTAGCATGTTATTGTAACTGACTGTAAAAAGTCAGCATAACGAAAATAAACTCCACCTAAACTTGGTTTATATCTGACCCAGAGAGACTGCAGGTCATAACTTCTTACCTGAAGTTCAGTTCACCGCCTCGGGTCTCTCCTCCTCCTGCCTCCCGTTTCCCTCATCCACCTGCTGGCCTCTGTGGAAGCTCCACCATAGCCACCACCAAACAACTGAGTTATTTTTACACATCTGCCAGCATCTGGCCAATCCACCACCTCTCATTGTTCATGCCGTTACAAAAAACAAAACCAAAGAAAACCCCATTGGCCCATGAAAATGAAAAATCACCATCGGCCAGTCCAGCTGTGGTGGGAGTCACAGAGGAGGTACTGGTCTGTGTGTGTGTGCTTCAGCTAAACTTCACTGTTGAGGTTTCCATTCTCCCCATTGTGCACAGCAGAGTCCAGGAATAGCAAACTGTTATCTTTGTGTCTTCCCTGGTGAACTTTATGTTCAACTTTATGTTACATCCACAGAGTTGATGTGAGCAGTGACGGATTCCACGTCTTAGGTTTTGATTTTGACCCAGGTATCCTCAACATCTCTGTACCAGTGGCTAGGTGCTGTCCCTTTAAAAGAGCCGGAGAAGATGGTTTGAAAGAGGCATGAAAGAAGCCATCAGGGGAAAAGAGGGAACACACATATATAAAGGAAGCTTTTAAAACATGCGGTTATCCTAATTATTCTTTCATCAAATCAGCAAAGATGCACAGAAAAGAAGGTCAGACACCAACTAGGGAGGATCGGAAAGACAAACGCAACAACATTGTCATCCCCTATGTAGCAGGTTTATCAGAGAAACTCAGGGGAGTTTTCTCCAAGCACGACATCCCGGTGTACTTCAGACCCAGCAACACACTCAGACACAAACTGGTTCATCCCAAACACAAACTCAACAATGTAGTGCATGCGGTACAGTGCAGCGAGGAATGTCCAGAGCTCTACATTGGAGAGACCAAACAGCCACTTCATAAACGCATGGCAGTGGTTACAAACAGAAAGACAAGCAGCCCATCAAACTTACTGAGAGTGTCTCAGTAAATTTGTCTCACACTTCATGTTCTTGGTAATGCAGAAGCTGGCTCTACCTGAACCCATTAAATATTTGATAAAGTCACTGAGTCAATGATTTCTAAAGTTTGTTTTCTTAATTGCAGTTAGAGTGTGGCTGGTAAAGAAGAAAAAGCAAAATGAATGTAACCTGTGAGTTTGGTGAACTTTGTGTTTTTTGTCATCATTTCTTACTAACAATCATCCTCCTGATATTCATTAATAATCAGGAGACAGCAAACCAGTCATGGTCGTGGACTTTTACAGTCTTAGTTGTGCTCATTGTCATCATGATAATCATCATGATCAATACTTGACAAGGGGAGGTCCTGAGGTAGGCGGGGCTAAGCCATGAATGGCAGGAACAGTGCCTGGCACGTGTTGGTGAAACAGTACACTGGTGTAGTTTCCTGTCCAGCTGTTTGAACAAGAAGAAGCAGTGTTGGGTCTAAAATAACTGGCAGGAAGTAATCAGTAGTTAGAAAGTGGATGGCATGTATAGTGACTGCGTTACAGTTACTGTAGTTCGGTAAGGATACTTACCAAAGCAGAGCAGACAGGCCAACAAGGATCAGATGCTGAATGTCTCAGGGACACGCTCACCTGTGGTGCTCACTGAATGCTGCTTTTACCGACTGTCTCAGTCTTTTATTGAAGTCGGCTGGTTGGACAGTGATAGCCTGCCCATCTGAGGAAGAGTTTGAAAACACTCACGGCAATCATTATTTTGTGTTAGGGTCAGAGTTGGATGGTAAATGTTGTCCTTTAAAATGTTTTTGTATTTAAAAGTACGATAATTTAAGCCAAAAATAGTGATCCACGTCCCTTTACCTGGATGTTTTCTTTGACGCTGGATGATGACTCCTCTCTCTCCAGTTCCAGCCTCGGAGATCACAGCCAACATCTGCAGCAGGAGAGAAAGTTAAATTAGTTTCTTATGCCTTTTTTCTCCATGTTTAGAAAAACACTAAAATAACCAAGCAAAAATAATATTAAAGATTTACACCCTTCATTAGCCAAACAATAAAAACATCTTCCTTTTATTCATTTTCTCCATTCCTGCTCACATCAGGTGTCAAATATCACAGCAAATCGCAGTGAATGTAAAGCACATGCTTTATACAACATGCGCCTCTATAAAGAACATTAAAGAGTTTCTACAACTCACAACTATTTCTACTTTACTGTGGATAGTTGATCTGCCGCCTCGGATCAGAATCAGCAGCGAGTCGAGGTGGTGACATGGACTCGTGCCCTTTGTGACTCTGGTAGTTCTTCTGAGGAAACACCACCATTTCTCCAAACTGCACCACCTGTGAGCACCAGAGATGGGCAGTAATGCATTACTTACTTTTTTCAAGTTACGACTAAAGCAAGGGATTACTATTGCAAAGGTCATTAGATTACTGTTACTTTCCCGTAAGCACGCTGCGTTACTAAACCGTGAGAGTGTCTCATGAAACACCCGGATCCCCCCACTGACATGACTGCTGTGGGATAACCTCCACCCACCCCAGATTTTAGAGTGACAGGACTCAGTGACGCTGAATCTTTGATTCTATTTATTTTCTGCTGTGTTTTACTTTCATCTATTTGAAAGAGTGTAAACACAAAACATGATTTTATTTTATATGCTGGAATATGCAGGAAATAGGTTTAAATGTTAAAGAGTTTCTTCATGTCAGACACTGCTGTACATAATTACATTTTTGCTTAATGCAATGTGCTTAATCTTAAAAGATTAAAACTAATAAAACAAGTTTTAAAAGAGACTTTTTATTTGATTCAATTTTATATGATGATTATGCAGAAAAATAGAATTGGCTGAAAGCTCTGTTGCTTTATTACATAGGCTGTGTATCATGTTTTTAAAATTAACTGAATAATAAAGTAACTAATTACTTTTGAAAATAAGTAATCTGTAAAGTAACAGGATTACTTTTTGGAGAAGTAATTAGTAACTAATTACTTTTTTAATTGACCAACACTGTTCACTAACAGTTGAAGTAGTGAGCTACATTCATGTGCATCACACAGCAAGACTTCAGGAAGAATTTAAGCCATTTATTTGCAACCGTGTGTTATCATTACGGCTACTGAGTCACGGGTGAAATGTTGAGACTGACAGAGTGGATTACAGACAGGTGAAGAACCAGGTGGGCTGCTGGCTGTACAGAATGACCAGAAAACCATAGTGGACCTGAGCACAGAGACCAGAGTGTGGGGAACGAATGAAGAGCAGATAAAGACTGAAATCCCCAGCAGAGCTCGAATCAGACTGTTTCAGGCCTGAAGAGCAGAGCTGAGGATTGAAAGAGATGCAGACTGAGGTGGAGCAATGAGAACGGTGGATGAGAGGGAGGCTACAGATAAACTTCAACTTTTGTACTTTTATAATAATCTTTTCTATTTTGTTGTAGCCACCTGTCGTTAGTTTGAAAATGCAGACAATAACTGGGTCAATCTTTCACAGTGAGCGAAATTTTAGAAAATGTTTTGTTCATTTTGAACTTTTCCACAATGCTATTCTTTTACAATAACCCCATTCTGTAGATGTGCTAGGTATTCTATCATAATCTGTAATGAAAATATCCAAATTAATTTGTAAAAGTGAAAAAAAAACTTTATTTATTTATTTATTTTACTTTTAAAAAAAAATTCAAGTGAGATCCTGTTGGCTCCCGAAATTTCCCCCAGGGGAGATTTCCCACTGGAGCAGTGATGACACTCTGCGCTCAGCCTTCAACCGCGATTGAAGTTGATGGTCATGTGGTGCGCCGAGGCTCCCCAGCCTCAGTCAGGTGGTGGGGGTGTGGCGGCGGTGTGGTCCCTGGCTCAGCTGCAGGGGAGGGTAAAATTTAAATTCATGTTACGCACTTTACTTCAGTCCATTTTAAATGAGCATTGGCCCAAAAAAGGCGGAGCATCACTGGGTAATGGATC